GGAGCCATGTAGTTTAGACACAGCCCAAGGGTCTTCTCCAAGGTCTTGGCAGTTGTGGCGGCCCATCTGCGAAAATAGAAAGTACCAGTCTATTCCTGTCTTGATGATTGTCTTGTAAGGAGCAACTCATTCCAGTAAACTCAGGACTCAGTGACCACTACTATGTCGCTGTTCAGGTCACTCAGCCTTTAAATCAACCTCTCCAAATATCAGCTCCAGCCAACTCGAGTACTGGAGTTTATAGGAGCACATCTCGATTGTACCCATGCGATCGCATCGTTACCCCACCAGAGGTTCCTTACTATAACACAAGTAGTACAACTTCACACCACTGCCCCACAACTGCCAGTCAGGGCGTGTCTCCAACTACTAGGCCACATAGCAGCAGCAATCGTAGTCGTTCTCCATGCCAGACTACACATGAGGCCTCTACAACACTGGCAGAGATCTGTGTACAGACCTTGGATACACAGCCTGAACAAAATGGTCTCACCATCAAATGCAGTCAGACATGCCCTACAGTGGTGGTCTCAGGAACAAAATGTGTGCACTGGGGTCCCCTTCCACAGATAAGCCCCATCATTCACCATCACCACAGATGCATCACATCAGGGCTGGGGAGCCCACCTGGGTGCTTACCACACCAACACAGTGGACCCACACAGACAGCACAATGCACATCAATGTGCTCAAACTCCAAGCAGTATACTATGCTTGCTGACATTTTTTTGAACCGTATCTTCAACTTCATAGTGCAGATCTTTACAGACAACCAAGCTGAAATCTTCTATATAAACCGGCAGGGAGGGGAGAGATCCTACCCCCTCTGCAGGGATGCAGCCCGGTTATGGACTTGGTGCAATGCTCACAATATAACATTACTTGCCTCACATCTCCCCGGCAAAGACAACATAACCACAGACATCACGTTGCATCAGAGCGTCACACAATGGGGCTTTCCATAGATCGACTTGTTTGCCAACAAAAGTGTCCACACTACTGTTCGCATTCGGGCATTGGAGCACAATCCCCAGGGAATGCATTCACAATACACTGAGGGGACAGCCCTACTATATGCTTTCCCCCCATACCATTGCTCCACCAAGTAGTCACCAATAGAGCCAGACTGGCCCAGACAAACCTGGTATACGTATCTGCTCCAGATGTCAGTCGAGTGCCCATGGCTCCCACACCTCATCACTCAGTCTCACGGTTGCCTTCAACATCCTCATGTCCACAAGCTGAACTTTCAGGCCTGGCTCACTTCACTGGAAATGGAATGCACAGAGGAAATCCAACAGATTCTCCTTGGCAGTCGGAGAACATCCACGTGCAAAACTTACTTGTACAAGTGGCATCGATTCTCCACCTGGGCTCACCTCCACAATCTCAACCCATCTACCACTCCATTACTCGCGGTCCTGCAATACATCACTGAACTAAAAAAAAATCGGGACTTTCAATTAATTCCCAAAGGGTTCACCTTTCCACTATTACTGCCTTAGATCAACCAATAGACACCAAGTCGATGTTTGCACATCCTACTACCAAAATGTTTCTCAAAGGATTTCAGAACATTTACCCGCCAATCAAACCCGCAGCTCCATCCTGGGACCTCAATTTGGTGCTGAGAACCTTAACTTGGAAATTGTTTCAGCCTACGGCGACTTGTTCTTTGCATCACCTTTCCACAAAAGTGGCAATAACATCCGCCAGGAGAGTCTGTGAAATTGCAACCCTTATTGCAGACCCTCCTTTCACCAACTTTTATAAAGACAAAGTAGTCCTCTGACCTCACCCTAAGTTCTTGCAGAAGGTGTTTTGCTGTAATTAACCTATTAACTTACCCATCTTCTTTCCTAAACCTCTTGCTAATCAGAGAGAGGCCACACTCCACACACTTGACTTACAGAGGGCCATTGCCTTCTACCTGGAAAGAACTAAGCAAACCCAGAAAACTAACAGGTTATTCATGTCAACCACCGAACGATCCCAGGGATTCCCCATCTTCTCCCAAAGGATCTCAAAATGGATCGTAGAATGCATAAGACTAACATACTCAACTTTTGGCAAAGACCCACATACACAACTTGGTGCACATTCCACCAGGGCCATGGCAACATCAACAGCTTATACACAAGGCATCTCATTGTCTGATGTATGCAAATCGACCACCTGGTCCTCCACTCACACATTTGCTACTCCCTATGCCCTGGATTCTTATGCGTCTAGAGAAATGGCATTTGGACACACAATTCTCATCACAGCCTAAAATGGCACTATGATGTCCAAAGCTCTCACCTCCAGTGGATAAACTGCTTGGAGTCACCTAAGGTAGAGCACCCACAGGGACACTCGAAGAAGAAGAGAGGATTACTCATCCTCTGCAGTAACTGACGTTCTTCCAGATGGGTTTCCCTGTGGGTGCTCCACCACCCATCCTTCTTCCCCTCTGCTTCAGTACTCTCTCCTTTTTTCTCCAGGGCAGAGAAGTAACTGAAGAGATTGCATCTCGCATATGCGCATTAGACACCTAGTGCTGTAGCGCATTTGCGCATGTGTGAACTAGCTGTCAAAGCCACTGCTATTAAAAATCTTCCAGCCAGGAGTGCTACGGTGCCAAAACACCTAAGGTTTGCACCCACAGGGACACCCATCTCGAAGAACGTCAGTTACTGCACAGGGAGAGCAATCCTTCCTTTATACTTTCAAAGTACTTTACAATTATTATCCATTAAGTTGTAGCATCATTAAGTAAACAAATTACATCGGGAACTACTCCATATAACATCAGTTTTTTCATTGCACATTTTACATGTATCGGTAATCATACGTAATGTATGAACTTGGCAGAATTTTAAGTTTATTAATATGATTAAGTAGATTATATCAAGTTTTTTTATTTTGATCAATTTAAATATTAACAGTTGAACTAACTTATGGATTGTAGGCATTTATTTTTCTCCATAAAAATGTTTATGGTTGTGGGAAATTATAGATAAAGGACCAATAATTACTTAATGCCAAACATTAAGATTCAAAAATCTAAAGTTTTTTAACCAAATACAAGTTCTCAGCATCTCAGAATATAAAACATGAATGTCTTTAAACTGTTACAAGTCTTCAAATAGGAATTTTCTTACTTTGCCTGCTTGTACATTTTGATTGTCATTGATGGAAATACTTTTTCATTGGTTTGTATGTATAGAGACATCAACATTTACAGTTACAAAAACCTATTCTTTGCCAGCCTAATAATGTATAGGAGGAGGCGGTGGCACTCTAGATAATAATGTGTAAATGGGTTCTATACATATAGGGTGAGTCTACACAGCAGGGCTTAACTTGAAATAAGCTACGTAAATTGAGCTATGTCAGTTGTGTAACTTATTTCAAAGTAGCTTATTTTGAAATTGAGATCATCTAGGTTGTGTCTAGACTACATCCCTTTATCGAGAAAGGGATGTAAATGAGACATGTCGATATTGCAAATGAAGCCGGGATTTGAATTTCCCATGCTTCATTTGCATAATGTTAAAATGGGGCTTTTTCGAAACCCCCCCCCCAGCAGTTTAGGATGGGGATCTTTCGAAAATAAAACCCTTTTATCTTGTAAACCTCATCATACAATACTGAATTCTCAAATATTTGCACAAAAGATTTTATTTCTTACTTATTTCATTAGCTTTTGGTTAGTATCAATGATGAAACAGACTGATTTAACTTGGATTTACCTGTTATTGGAAATGGAGTTTCATATACAGTTATATATAAAAATACTTTTCGCTATATGAGATATGCATAGCTCTTAGATACACACATCATATTTCAGACAAAAGAATTTCTTCATTTAACATTGATTTTGCCAAAATTTTAATCTACTTAAAATAAAAACTTTGAATTCAGATGCTTCTATAGCTTCTAAAACAATTTTTAGAGAGGGAAAAAAAAGCTTTTGAAGGTGTTTCTCACTTATGTTTATGTCTCAGCTAACAAAACTGCTGATTTTTGCTCAAATCACAAATTCAGTTAACTAAAAAAACTTAGTGTTTGGAGTTAAAAAAAAAGACAGATTAGCCATAAATACACATGAACCCAATTCCAGAGACACTTTGTAGTCCTTTGGGACAGTTTTGCCTGTATAATAAATCCCCAATATTAAAGCACTGATTAATTTTTATGCATTGAATATTTAGGTTTATGGAGATAAAGATGCTGATGGATTCTACCGGGGAGAAACTTGTACAAGACTTGGCCTCATTCCTTGTAATATGGTCTCTGAAATCCAAGCAGATGATGAAGAGATGATGGATCAGCTTCTGAAACAAGGGTTTCTTCCTCTGAATACACCTATTGAAAAAATAGGTAGGGGGAAAATATATGCACCCAAAGTTGTGATTTGGTGCTATTAAGTTGGCTGTTTGCGCTTTGGCTTTTTTTTTTTTTTTTTTTTTTTTTTTTTTTTTATGGCCACTTCAT